AAGAAAAATGGCTGCAACGGAATTTTTCCTGTGGCCTTCTGAGATCGCAATTTTTCCTATGGCGTTCTGATCACTGTTGAATTGCGCAACAATTCCTATGGACGCTAAGTTGATTCGAAAACGAATCGTTATCATGACGGTGTCGCCAACTGAGACGGAAAAGGACTTGCAAAAGTTATCACGCGTACCACGCGGTAGGCTTCATTGAAAATGGATTCCCGTGGAACGTTCGGTCGCTCAGCTGAATTATTCACTAGTAAGGTGCCTCCGTGAAATGTGCGGTGTCTCACGTTCCATTGGTTCCCAGTCACTGCAGCCTACAGAGTGACGCTTGCGATAGCCTGTTTGGCTAACTGGTACTTATCACAATTTTGTCGACCATTTATATCACATCATTCATATTTTTTTAAACAAGAGAAGTATAGGTAACAGGTTTTTATTATGACGCTCTTTTAGAAGCAGAAAGTCGCGATGATCTTCTGTAGTTAATTCAAGTTCAGCGTTTCGTTGAATGTACCGTATTCTTGACGTAATTTCTCAGATAAGCGTATCAATATCAGTTCGGTTACATCATTTGCTATACATCCTGATAAAGGTTTCATTGGGGGTTCGCTTTGACTGAGCCGATTTTTCCGTCTTTCTCTCCTCGCGAACTCTCCCAGATCCTGCAGGAGCTCCAGTACCACCGGATAGACCAAGTCATCAAGCCGTTGCCTTACAGTGCTTTGAGGAGTCGGTTCCGAGAGATAATTGCTCAGTCGATTCGGGACGTTAAGGAGCAGCGGTTTGATGAGCGTTGATATGACTTCAAATGCTCCTTCCCTTGCATCTCTGGTTTCCCATTTCGGTTTGCTTGGAGTCTTTCCGACGACGGCCAGCTTACTTGCTTCTCCAGTACCAAAGTAGCTTTTCACAACAAATGCTTTTTTGAGCAAGGGAAATTACTAAAATCAAGTTTGCCGGCTAATATGTACGTATTACGTGAGCAGTCCATTTGCCGGTCCGTTCTGTACATTTTATTATATCTTCGCTTGCTAAAGTGAATATCGGGCCGTTGGTGTTTGTTGGTTGCTTAAACTTCTTCATGTCTTATTTGTGGGAGACGTGCGTTTCTCCTCCTGGGGTCAGGTCACCACAGTTGCGCGATCATTGAAGCTTAAGGTTAAGTTTGGGTTTAGACTTAGGTTAAGGCTTATGCTTACACATTGCCTATGATTGGGCCTAGGCTTAGTCCTAAGCTTGCTCCGAGCGAATGAACGGCGTCTCAATTTTAGGTGACCTGACCCCAGGAGGAGAAACGCTACGCATCCCTTATATGTGTGTAAAAATAAGCACGCAAGTAACAGAGAAAGATGCTTGGGATGCATTCTGTTGGAATCTGTCAACCGATCCTGACCGACAGAAGGGTGATGTCAACAGGAAGGTGGTGTAGGAATGAGCCTATGTATTCGTTGTTGATAGGGATGAATTTTGGATTATTGGACAGAGTAAATACAGGCGTGTAAAGTAGATAAGCTAAATAAATAAGCTAAAAACAAATATGAAATTAAGGTTGTTAGGTGAGCTTTTGCCAAATATTTCTTTGTAGCATTTTTGTCAAAGAAGCAAGCCCGAAAAAAGTT